GCGGGTGAATGAATGCGAGTGGTTGAAACAGAGATAGCATAACAGAGAAAAAGGTATATGTTAATTAAAAAACGAGACCCTCTCCCAGGTAAAGGGAAATCGGAAGGCCATCCCAAGGAAGGAAGGGCGTGAGCGGGAGGAGGGGCTGCGGGCGGCGCCCACCCGCCCGTGAAGCGTGAAGCCGAAAGCCACGCGCCATCACCGCACGCGCGCCGACCTGTCCCGCTGCCGCTGCGCCTGCCACGTGCCGCCGCTCCTGCACTGGCGGTGTTGCAGGTGGCTTGCATGGACTGAGCTTAGGGCTTGATTTGCTTTCGTGGCGAAGTCGTTCTGTATTTTGGTGTTCGCGTCGTGGAGCTGCCGTCGGTTTTTACATGTCAACATGTACATGTACTTCTTTACGTATATTTTTATCAAGTTCAGTCAACTATTCTGCTATTCATCAATAAGCCTTTTCTACGTAGTTTTAACCCCAAATGATTTTTAAAAATGACTCAAATATCCACGCTTCCACCCACGAGAACCGAAGCCCTTAAGATGAACCCCGACGCACATGACAAAGAATTCTCCAGGACCTCCCCCCCTCCCCCACATTCAAGCAGCGAACCGCGACGCCGAGCGAGTTTTCCGATGCGAGAGCCACACGACCGCCTTCCCGAATCAATTTTCCTAAACCCAGTATCATCTCGTTTCTCAAGCAATAAAACAAGCTTGAATTATACGCCAATTCGTCTGGAATAAATCTTTCTGTTCTCCAGGGGTTAAGGGATAAAGTTTCGTGTTACGTAACCGTTTACGCCGCTGGGGGTAAACTGGCGGTTTGATCTTACGATCCAAGTATGCAAATATCCTACCAAGGATTACTAGAACATGCATCATAGGTTTATGCTTTATTCCTTGCCATTCGTAGGCATTTGAAGCATGTAAGAAACTTAATACACAGACACGTAACTATTTTTCCGGGGTTGAGGTTCCGACATTCTCCCGAAGAAAGCCATATTTAATAGCACTATCTCACTGCAACAGTAACGCCACAACATTATAACCGAGGCATCAACGGCGATGGCAATTGGAGATCACAGCGGAAACAATTTTTATGGGTCATAAACTACCGTACTAAAATTTAACCGAAAACTTCGAATCAGTCGAATATGAACTAACCCATCCATTCAAAATTCTATAAACGAATAACTAAATACAGCAAAATACTCCAGACTTCAGCGACAAAAATCGTTTTCTTCGGACGACAAGAACCAACCACTCACGAGACGACACGACAGCACCGCCCAGCCAATCAGAGCCACCAGCGACTCCCAAGCTCTCGGCCAATGACCTCGCTCCATTGCCCTTCCACCAACCACCTTCCACCAATCACCGTCATTCCCCCCCCAAAAAAAATCTGGAATCGTCGTTCTCCGCATTCTCTCAGTACCATTTATTCATTACCAAACCTTCCTTCTTGAATCATCTATCTTCCCTGCGCGTGGGTCATCCAAACTTCTCGCCGCCGTCACGCTCTTTTGCATAAATTAGCGCGCGGTTAATCAGGGGCCAATTTTTATTCCCGCGATCACGTCCGCCGTGGGAGAGTCGCCAGCTGACCCGGCCGTCGGCGATGGGATATTTATGGGCTCCGTATTCGTTTATTTTCGACCTTTGTTTCTTTCATTCTTTTTTTCTCTCATTCTCTTTCTCGTTGTGTTTCGTGAGCCAATAGTGAACGAGACAGCTGGATGAATTGTACGGAAGAACGACGGATAATGATGTATAATTATACTTTGGATGACTAGACAGGTGATTTTTTGGGAGTGGAGGGGGGGGAAGGGGAGGGGGGGGGGGAGCTACGATACCCTTTCCACTCATCAATTTCTACGTTCATTCTAATTGATATTTACCTTCTCATTCCCCTTCAGTCTCCCCTTCTTTCCTTCTGTTTTTTTTTTTTTTTTTTTTTACCGTCATTATTTTCATAGCTATGCAAATTTTCCCGACAAGTATTTCGAAATCATAAATCAACGAAGAGAAAAATTAAATGGACAACGGCAGGCACACATGGTGGAAGGGGAAATAATTGACATACTTTATTATTTGTCATATCAAGAGCACGGCAAAACAGAGGAGTGAACGTTAAAAAGATATATTTATCACACACATACACATATCCTCGTGTAAGTATGTTTGGCTACAACGAACCAACAACAACTCTAAATAAAACATTAATAAAGCACTTCAAATATACAACAATCAAGCCTCAACAGAACAACAAGAAAAACAGAATAAAAAAATCTGTGTAAAAGAAATAGTTATCACAGAAAAAAATACAGTCATTAAAATAAGAAAATGAAAGAAAGATAAAAACCTCATAGATCAAAAAAGCAAAAGAATAAAGCAAAATCTTAACGCAAACCTATTTAAGAAAATAAAAATAACAACAACAAAATTATAATAGAAAAAACACAAAGAAGTCTTAATCCACTCACCTGGAAGTGGAGGAAGCCCTTGTCATCCACCCAGCCCAGCACCACATCGGCGCCCTTCATTCCACCTGTGGGCGAGAAGCCTAGGCCTACGTAGCCCTTCGTCGCCACCTGGAAAAGAGGGCGAAAGGGCCGTGAAAAGGGGAGGAGGGGGATGTTGGGCGTGAAGGGTGTAATGTGTTAGTGTGTGTGTATGTGTGTGTGTGTGTGTGTGTATGTGTGTGTGTGTGTGTGTGTGTGTGTGTGTGTGTGTGTGTGTGTGTGTGTGTGTGTGTGTGTGTGTGTGTGTGTGTGTGAAGAGAAGACGAGAGAGAAATTGAAAACAAGAGAACGGAGACAGAAGTAAAAAGTGAAAGAAGATAATGATGCTGATGATAATAAATAATAATGATGATGATAATGATCATACTACTACTACTACTACTACCACTACTACTACTAATAATAACAGTAACAAAAACAATGACAATGATAATAATGATCATGATGCTGAAAAATACTAACAATCATGATCATGACAACAATAGTAATAACAATAGCAATAACAACAGCAACAGCAACAAAAGCCTGTGCACTATTCACGCGCCGTACCTGCACTTCGATCACGATGCGCTCTTCCTCGGGCGTCCACAGCAGGAAGTAGGCGCCCCGCTGATCCATCATTGCCCGGTGCACGAAGCCGAGGGGGGGGAGGGAGTCGGACGATAGGCCTACCACGCCCACGCCGGCCACCCGCACATTATGGGCGGCCAGGACGATGCCCAAGGCGACGATAGGGAGCATGGTTATGGCGAAACACGTACG